AAGATGTGGTCTCAGGGAGTTATGGGAAAGTTCTAGTAAGTCCTTCTTGCCATATTTTACAGTTTTAAAAATATGTATGTTTCTTATTCTCTCCCTATGCTCCAATGGAGTGCTGTCGGAAGCTGCTGTCATGTAACAGCATGGTACATGCTGAAGTGTCATCATGTGGTGGGACTCACTCACTCGTGGGTAATCTTTAAAAAAAGAAATAAGACCAAACAAAAAGCTTCTCTGTAGTGTTATTTACTGTATCAAAAGCTCCTTTTAGCTTGGCTAGCTTGGGACATTTAGTTGCTCTTATTTTCAAGTCATTATTAAGGCAACATTTTTAAATCATGAAAGCAACAGCCTGTGGACTGGCCAAATAGAATTGCATTCACTCTGCCTCCAAAACGCCACAGCTGTATGTGCTAACAGGTATATGCAGAGGTAAATTGGGCATTTGAACTTGCAAACAGGCACATTTCTATTATGCATGAATATGAGTTCCTGCAAATGCAATGTCTGTGCATGCAACTGAAAATATAGAGGGCTTTAGTGATATGGTAATAGAGCTCAGGATATCTGTGCTGCTGTATATTAATGTCATGTATATTAAATATTCTAGGCAATAGATGGTACTGGAGCTTACATCTGTCAAGTAATGCAATAAAACCTTGTCAATAGAGAACAAAATTATTGATGGCAACAAAAGGTAAAGGAGTATCTCAGCTGTAAGGGTAGGACTGTAAGGCTACATCTACACTGCACACTTATTTTGGAATAAGTGATTCCAAAATAGCTTATTTCAAAATAGCATGTCTACACTGCAGGGAAGCCTCAAAATTAGACCAAGACAAGTTTCCCTAATGTAGACGTGCTAGCTCGATTTAAAGCCCCAGGCGGAATAAATTAGAATGGCCCTAATGAGGGGCTATTATGGGAAAGCCTTATTTCTACATACGCCTTATTTCGAAATAGCTATTTCAGAATAGGAGTTCTTCTTCGTAGAATGTGGTTTACAGAAGTTAAAATAAGCCAGCCATTATTTCAAAACAATTTCGAAAATAACTTTGCTGTGTCAAACACACCCTAAGAGAAAGTATGTTAACTTTGATGTTATTAGTTAAGGAGAGACATCATGGCCTATGTTTCCCCATTTGTATGATGATGATGATGATGACCTTCTTTTGTAAAGTGCTTTTGCGATCAACTGATGAAAAGCACCATGTACTAGATGGTGTCAGTCTGTTGCTCGTTTGTGTTCAAAATAGGTCTCTGCTGCCTTTCACAGATATTCATTAACTGATCTTCTAATGGTCTCCAACCTTTTAAGCTAGACCGGAGGTTGTCCAATTGTGATTTGTGGAGCACCTGGCTGCCCTGGTGAGGGCTTCTCCTTTATATATCCAGCAGCTAAAATAAATCAAACTCAAAATGCATAGTGCTTCCCAGTATTGTTTGCTTCAGTTGCCATCTGAGTATTCTGCAGTAGGAGAGGAGGTGTCTGCAAAACACTCCCTGGGTCTTGTTTCAGTACACTAAGAAAAATTTGAGCGCTCCTGAGCTAGACATAAGCTCCAGTAGCACCTTTTACCAAAACAAATAGATCATCACAAAAAAACAAATACTTGATTGTGTTTAAAAGATACCTGCTTTTAAACTTCCTAACTTAAAATCCTGAACAAGCTTTTTTCATACACATCCTCTTATGGTCCATTCTTCATTGACTGTAAAAGAAACCAAGCTTAATGTTTCTGCTTATGGTCCTATCCCCAATTTTTCTTCTTCATCCATTTGCATTCAAGACAGATGTTGAGGTGGTGCATACACAGTCCAGTTGTTGTATAAGATATGTGAGGGGAGGGAGACTGTTCAGTTCTGAGGAACTCTTTAGAGAATTTAGTGGCTGAACTCTTAAGTCTATTCTGAGCATGCGTGAACTGAGATTTTTCAGAAGCTTATATATTTGCCATATTTTCGCAAATTTTCAGAGTGACAGCATAAAGCACAGCCCTGGCACCAAGACAAAGTCCCTGCCAATTTGCAGGTCCTTGTTTCAAAGCGCTAATTTCTTAACAAAACAGGTGTGTGTTTGAGCGGGGGAGGGAGAGGTTAAATGTGTGCAGAATAATGCATTTTGTTCTTAACGTTATTCTGAGAAGCAGCTGAATCATTTATCTGATGCTTCCTGAAAAATTGAGCCTAAGACTGACATATAACATGGAAAACTTCAGAACATATTGTTTGTTTGAAGTTATAAAAGCAATTGGAAACAGAGAAATAATCCAGTGTGTTGGGCAAATTTAACTATAGGCATTGTTATCTGTGCTGCCTATCATATATATGTTAAGAGAGTTGTCATATCTTCTTTCATTAAGGAAAGGTCAAAGAGAAGTGGAAATACATAGTTCAGCGTGTGACTTCATAACAGTAGCTCAGGGTACGTCTACACTTGCCCCCTACTTCGAAGTAGGGAGGCAAATGAAGTATACCGAAGTTGCATATCAAGCGCGGGATTTAAATATCCTGCGCTTGATTAGCATATTCGCGGCCGGTCGCCCGATGTAACTTGCCGCGTGTAGACGCAGTAGTCCAATTTAAAACCTTTCCTCAAATTTAACTTGAGGAGTATCAGTTAATTCCAGGGAAGGGTTTTAAATCTAATTAACTGGTACTCCTCAAGTTAATTTGAGGAAAGGTTTTAAATCGGACTACCGCATCTACACGCGGCAAGTTACATCGGGTGACTGGCATTTTAAAATGACGACCAGCTGCGAAGATGCTAATCAAGTGCGGGATATTTAAATATCCCACGCTTGATTTGCAACTTCGGTATGCTTCATTTGCCTCCTTACTTGGAAGTAGGGGGCAAGTGTAGATGTACCCTCAGAGATTTGTTATATGAGGCTATTATGACATACTTATATTATGAGGCTGTGTGTGTGTCAGTCACTTCTTCATTACTTGCAGGCTACATGTATGAATGTGCAATGGTGACATTGTAGAAAAGGTCTAACGAACTGATGGTTTCAGAATTAAAACATTTACACTGTTTTCCCTGATCATGTTGGTCATGGCCTGCTCAGTTCCCTGCTCTGCATTCCCTGGTGCCATGAGCAACCCCAGCACTCCCTCTGAGCCCACTATGGCTGAAAGTGAGCCTGCAGCGACCTCAGAAGCCCTTCGCCAGGGGCAAAGGAGATCCCCATCCTGGACTGGTGTGGAGATCCTGAATCTCATCAAGGTCTGGGGTGAAGAGTCCAATCTCTAGGATCTTTGCACCATCCATAGGAATGCTGGTGTCTACAGCTGGATGGCCAGAAGCCTGGCCCAGAAAGGTAACACTTGCACCCAGGAGTGGGTGTGGATGAAATTAAAGAGCGCTAGCAGGCCTATGCCAAGGCTAGGGAACAACGCTCCCAATCTGAAGTGGCACTTCAGACCTGCTGCTTATATTGTAGGGATAACATATTAAAGTATTAAAAATGATTCCCCCACGTGGAAGTGACGCCCCATAATTTGTTCCCCACAACTTAAAGTGTTTAGATTTATTATTATTATTATTTGTAAAGATTGTTAAATGTTTAGATGTATTATAATTGCCCCTCTAGAATATAATTTGTTAGGAATGTAATATTAGGTTATGTAACTTAAAACTGTTAAAAATATAATATAGGCAGTCCCCGGGTTACGTACAAGATAGTGACTGTAGGTTTGTTCTTAAGTTGAATCTGTATGTAAATCGGAACTGAAACTGACCAGCGGCTGACTACAGGAAGCCCGAGGCAGAGTTGCTCTGCCCCGGACTTCCTGGAATCAGCCGCTGATCAGTTTCAGAAGCAGCTGACTTGGGGTTCTTAAGTTGAATCTGAATGTAAGTCAGAACTGGCGGTCAGTTTCAGCAGTGGCTGAATCTGGACGCCAGTTCCAACTTGCATACAGATTCAACTTAAGAACAAACCTACAGTCCCTATCTTGTATGTAACCCGGGGACTGCCTGTACTATTAGTTCTCCTCTTGTCTCTGACAAAGACAAATCAAACAATTTAAGCATTCTGGGTGAAATTGTGGGTTACATGGGCTAAGCAGCTTTGAAGTAGGGAGTGTAAACAAAGCCAAAATAACAGAAATTGGAGGCAAACTTTCCCTCATTCATTGACATACAGTCTCGAAAACAGACTCTGTCAAGCAAACCGGTAGTTGAAGCCTAAAGGAAAGTTTCATTCATTTCAGGACTGAACATACTGTTCTGGAAGAAGAATGTCATGCAGAAACATCATAAAGTAATACTGATTCCTTCTACATTAAGCTTCGCTGTGGTCTTCCAAAAAAGACAGTAGAATCAGAAGTAATCAGCTCACCTGGGAAATGCATTCATAACATATGTCCCCAGAAAATATCTCTAGTTTGGCCAGAACAGCAGTCTGTGCTTGTATTAGGGAGCAGGGATGTAAAAGGTGACAGAAAGGGGGACAGATTGTGGCAATGCAGGGTGGCCACAGCTTCTGCTTCTGGGGAGGTGAAAGGGCTCAGCTCTGCCCAAAAAACTGGTAGAACTAGCTGATAACCAGGTTGGAGTCTCCTCGTAATGGAGAAGATGATCTAGCACCTGTCAGTGAAATACCAGCAGACTCTAGCAGCAGGAAGATCACCTCCCGTGAATGGAATGACCACACATGCACCTTAGCACACAATGATTGCTCTAGCTGTGAAAGTTATAATAGCCTCACCCATTTTGACTGGTGCATAAGTGTGTGGTCAAAACTTCCATCCATTAGCTTGGCTGAATTTAGCTCCTTAGTTTTGTTTTGTTTTACTTCCTTTAGAATATTTTCAACTTTAATGTTGCATTCATGTTATGCTTTTGTATCTCTAATCCAGCCACCTGGCTAATGCAACTGAGCAGATATTTGTATATGCAGTTCTTAACAGAACACTTGCATTCTCTTCCTTTGTTACTTCAGAGGTTCTCTAAGCAGTATCTGATTTGCCTTCTATTGTTTCTCTGCTCTCATTAGAACATTGTGGCAGTAGGAGCTGGATTTTGTGATGGCCTTCGCTGTGGTGATAATACCAAAGCTGCTGTTATTCGACTTGGCCTAATGGAGATGATTGCATTTGCAAAAATCTTTTGCAAGGGACAAGTGTCTACTGCCACTTTCCTGGAGAGTTGTGGAGTTGCTGATCTGATCACAACGTGTTATGGTGGCCGCAATCGGAGGGTGGCTGAAGCATTTGTTAAAACTGGGAAGGTATTGTACCAAGGCCTGTTGTCTTCTCTGTGTGATTGTAAAAACTTAAAAAACAACGAATAGTCTAGTAGCACCTTAAAGACTAGCAAAACGTACAGATGGTATCATGAGCTTTCGTGGGCACAGCCCACTTCTTCAGATGACCGGAGTGTTGGAAGTCCAGGTCCAAGAATAAATAAAGGGAAGGAGGGAGGGAGGGAGAAGGAGAAAAAAAATGGAGGGGAGGAAGAAAAAAGAGAGAATAGTTATCCTAGTCATATTGTAATGGGTTAACATACAGTCTTGTCTCTCCTTTTGTCCTTTAGTGTGTTACCATAGAGACAGTGTTGCAAAACTAGAATGAATGAGGCAGTTCCAAAGAGAAGGCGAACTGGAGGTAGGGAATAGGGGAAAGGTTGAGTTTACACAAAGCATGTAGGAAAATACTGTTATGAAAACCATAAACTGCTTTTGGAGGAAGTGTTAAGATCCTGCCATGACATTAGCCAATTTTTCCCATCAAAACTTCTTCATGCATCTTAATACTCATGTGGAGTGACTTTTCATTTAAGATGTTAGTTCTACCACCGTCATTTGGGCAAACTTTTGGAGCTGTCTTTCCATACTGAAGTAGTGGGATCAATCAGCACAGTAGAAGACCCTTACCAGGGCTGCTTAACCTCCCTTGTATTCAAAATGGTGTCTTAGGCTGGTAAAAACCTTGCTATGATTAACTTTTTTTTTTTTTTTTTAAATACTATTAAGTCAATTGAAGAACTGGAGCAAGAAATGCTAAATGGTCAGAAGTTGCAGGGGCCACAGACTTCTGCAGAAGTCTATCGTATCCTGAAGCAGAAAGGAATGGTGAATAAGTAAGTAAGAGGACATGGGACACGTTGTTGGGAGAGGGGGTGGTTTTCTTTTTTGCCCTACATTTTTTTTAACACTTTCACTTTTTGAACATATGAAGACTGTTTCAAGAGTGTAAAAGCAAAAGTTGGAGATCCCTTGAAGTCCCTTCGACTTCTGTGGAATCAGGAGTTAGTGGAAGAACAGGGGCGGATGAGAGTGCTGCTGGGCCCAGGGCAGCGCCGCGGGGCCCCGGGCAGCAAAATTTTGCAGGGGGCCCCCCCTTTGACACAGCGCATGCGCCGTGATGCCAAGGTGCATGCGCGGGGCCTCGGGAAGCGCAGAGCCCGGGGCAGCTGCCCTGCTCGCCCTGCCCTAAATCCACCACTGTGGAAGAACATGCCACAGAGGTAGAATGTGGATAAGAGCATGTGGCTATTCATGCAAGTGCTTGAGGGGATATGGCCTATGAGGCATAGTGGTATATTTGATTAATCTTTGCCCAGTTTTAGCTTTGTTTTAATCTTTTCCTAGAATAATCTTGAGTTTCTCATAAGGGAAGCATTTAGGTTTTTTGGCTCTTTGTATAGCCATTCTTGATGACTTGCCTACAATAATTGTTCTGGTAACTATTAGTCTATTAATTGCTGCTGCTTATAATTCAGAAATGATTTGTGGTTAATAAAAGTAAAAATAAGGACAAATTTGGTATTTCTTTGAAATTGGCAGACTGGGTTGTGTAGGATACTCCTGAGCTCAGAACCTCAGCCTGTGAGGTGTTCAGCACGTTTCATAGCATGCTGAGTGCCTACACCTCCCACCATCAATTTTATTAGGAACTGATCGTGTTCAACACCTTTCAGGTTTGGGCCATGAGAGAAAAGTTGCATCTGTTTAAAAATACTTGGTCCAGGTTATAGTCTCTGGAATGTACCATACGCTGAGGATGTTAAGTATCGGGTAATTGAATAATCGAATAGTTGATGCATTTTTGCATCGACTATTTGATTAGTCAATAGAGCGCTTTTGCCTTTGAAGTGTAGCAATAGCCTTAGGGGCGGGGAAGCAACTAGTTGACTATCTGATAAGCATTTACTAGTCATTCACATCCCAACCATGGGCATATCTGGTTGACCCTATTCAGGCAACCATGCTAATGTTCCTGCATTGGCTGTACAGCTTAATAGTGCTTATTCCAAATCATTTAAATAAAATAACATTCAAAAATTGTAAGACTTGTATAAAGGATGGCAGCTCAGTGTTTATAAGTTTCAGAAGTCAAAATCATCTAGTATATTGTTTTAGGTGTTTGCCAAATGACAGAGGAACTGAAAACTTCTGAGGCAAAATTCCACCATTGAATCCATATTCACAACTACCTTGGCAGCCTATCTGCAAAATTGGTTAATGTACTTCTGGAGCAGTTTAGGGACTTTGTTTCACGTTCTCTTCAGTACATGACACATTAATTCTCACTGATATGTTATTAGAGTGTAATGAAGAATGAACTCCCTAATGCAAAAAAGAAATATTTCCATCTGTCTAAGATTATAATTCTTACAGCAAAGCTAATAAACAAGAGACTTATTTGTCAAGCCTGTTGCATCAGCTTGTTTCATGTATAACTTAGATCTAAATGAGCACTTACTGCAGAATTGGAACTAAACAATAAAATAAAATATAAAAAGCTGAACTTCTTAATAAACTCTGTTAACAGACCATCCATCAACTTTCTTGCTGGTGACATTTGTTGTTTATCTCCAAAGAAAGGGAGCTTTGTTACTAAGATTCAGTTTGACGGATCAGCTGTATGTAGTGATTGCTTTCATCACATGGAAGGGTCAAAAGCATGCATGTTTAGCTTTGATATTGTGGTTCTCTTTCCTTGTTTGTTGTAAAATAGAACCAACCAACTTTGCATTTCCTGATACAAAACAAAGGTTGTCCTGATGTCATTAATTCAGGAGGTTCTACATGTGCATGATTCCTAAAGCCATATGTAGTCTGTAGTTAGTAAGACTTGAAATGTGTTTTCGTCATCTCTTCCTTTTTTTTAAATGAGACAAAATCACAAAAATGAACAGATTTGTCTCTTGATTGGCAGTCCCTCTTAAAAATAATGTTGGCAGTTTTTAAAATAGGTTTTTTTTCCCCTTGACCATCTGCTTTCTTATGTTTTAGTGTTTGCTGTAGAAACAAAACACAGGTCCTATCTCTGCAATATACGCACAGTAGTAATTAAGCCAGTTGGGGAAGGTGTTTAGAACAATTGTTTGCAATACTCATTGCTTGTATTGCTCTCTTAAACGTCTTCCAGTACCTTTTTATTTTTCTGCCTTTCCATTTGTCAAGTACAGAGCTGAACACAGCAGTTTTTTGGATTGAGCTGACATTAAGTAGGCTGATGTTTACTCCTCTGCTTTATCCTTCACCTTAAAACTTATGCAAATTTTTGCTGGATGACACTGCCATTCTTGGACACTTGTGTGTCAAATAGTCAGTATTCTTGGACTGTGCCTGTTAATCAAGCTATTTCCAGCAGGTTATACATGAACCCCATTCTTATTCTCACCATTACACCTATTGGATGCTGAATGATCCTTTTTTAAGAGCATTGTCTTTGTCTTTTTAATCTAACATTCAAGACTTGCTTTAAAATTATATATTAGTAGTATATTCTGATGCTTATTTCAAAATTATTATTTTTAAAATTGGGCTGAAGGCCTAGTAACGGTAAAATTTAGGTGCCAGCCTTACAAACTTCAGTGCAGATGCATGGCTCTTTGTCATGTGGAGACACATAAAAGTCAGTGGTACTCAATGGAGGTGTACTGTTCAGGATCAGCCTGTATATTTACAGTGTCATTTGGCTATAAAACTCTTCATCTGAAGGGTGAACTAACCCCTTTAATGTTTCCAGATGCACATCCCACACAAGAGTATGCATATTGTTGTCACCATTAACTTAAACATTGCCATTTTTTCAGTAAAAAGCTTCTGAGTTGTGCTGACAGAAATATTAATATTAAAATGTTGTTTGGAGCAATGATCCCATCTTAAATCAACTGACTTCTCTGAATGTCCTGATAACCAGCACTACAATATCTGTGCCCATTTGAAGCACATTTTTATTTAATATGGGTACAGTATGTCTTGTGTCTATCTCTAATAATGGTCACACAGAAACAGATGATATAATGTCAATTTTAGGTCAAACTTAAGATTTTATATTCCTACAAAAACATTGCAGCCTTGTGTTTGAGAACTAGAAAGTGAAATTGACTCTGCTGAATGTTCATGCTGAATGGAATCCAAAACATCAATTTAGATTTTTTTTTAAATCTTTGTTTTCATAGTCTTTAATGTTGTCTGTAACATTCATGGAAGTTTTATTTTTGAAAACATGGGAAACTTTTAAAAAAAGGGGGGGGGGGGAAGCTAGCCTTTATTTACTTATTTATTTTAAGGATCCTAAAACCCATACTTAACTTTATAGGCTCTTCTATTGAAAATCTTGATCTCTGATTTTTAATAGGCACTCTTAAAAATTGTGATACTTTTTTTACACTGGATCATTATTCAAAAAGAATTATGATCTTTTCTATTTGTAACTGAGCATGTGATAAGATGATTGCCAAAAAGATGACAGCAAGCATTTTTTTTAAAAAATTCTGAAATAAGTGAATTATCAGGTTAGGCATAACAGATGTTGCAAGATCCATTATGTCTTTACTATGATTAGGCTTTTGAGGGCCTGACTTAGTTCACAAATGTATGTAGGTATTATATATATTCTACATATATCACCACAATGTAAGTGCCCAGTAAATTCTAAAAGAAACACTGATTCTCAGTGATAGAAATGTAGCCGTATTAGTCTGGGGTAGCTGAAGCAAAATGCAGGACAATGTAGCACTTTAAAGACTAACAAGATGATTTATTAGATGATGAGCTTTCTTGGGCCAGACCCACTTCCTCAGATCAAAAATTCTCAGGTACTCTTTCCTCCACCTAACAAAACATTGACTAATCTTATGTTGCTTTTTCCTTTTTTTTCTAGGTTTCCACTGTTTACTGCCGTGTATCAAATCTGCTATGAAGGGAAACCTGTCCAAGACATGATATCCTGCCTTCAGAGTCATCCAGAGCATATGTGAAATGAATTGTGCAATTGTACTAATGCAGCTTCTGCCTTTCAAATTCATATTTGGGTTCAAGTGGATGTAACAATAAGCTTCATAAGAATCTGTACATTAGGCAACCTTAGCAACATGAATGTATATGAATTTCTACAGGTGGTTGTTTTTTTTTACACAACTTAGTGGTAGTGTAGTGTTGGATTGGTGGCTGTCATTTTACTAGCTAAAATGCAGATGTTTTTAAGATACACAATTCAAAACTTGCACTATCTATCTTTGTCTGTATCTATCTATCTCTATCTACGTTTGCATTCTGTTTGTGTTTCTACAGTACAAGACAAACAATATTTAGTAATCTTTCATTCTAAAATTCCTCTCATATTAAAGACCCAATCCAGTGCACACTAGAGACCAGGGGTGGGCAGGTTCATAGGCAGGGGAAGGTATTGCCAAATTGCCAGGCATGGCCCCGTCCCCAGAACACCTAATGTAGGTGTACTGGGGGCAGAGTGTTGCTTGCTTCCCCCAGCCCTACCTTCACCCACTGTCCATGCTAGAGACAATGGAAGGAATCCCATTGGCTTCACTGGGAATTGGCTTGAGCCCTGATTAGCCCCAGTAGCATAAACTGTGTCTGTCAGAAGTTGATTTTATTCTGTAATACACATCACAGATTTCTACATGTTTGCATGCTTTTTGGTGATATTCGTTAGTTTAAGCACTATTAGTGAAAAACTAGTTGTAGCAGCCATTCAAGAAGGGGAGTAGTGGAATGGCATTTTTACTAACTGTATTTAACAATATCATATGATGTTTAGACCATCTCAAAATATCAGACTAGTTCAAATCTATTTTAAAGGGTGTTTAATTCTTTAAGTCTAACCTGTAAAAAGAGTATATTACCTCTCCCTCTATTTTTATCCCTTTCTGCTTGATTTTTTTATATTTCTGGTTTTATATCTTTCTCCCACTGTTTCCAGGTATTAAGCTGTTCTAGAATTCTGTTAGGAAAGACAACCAGGGAGGATTTTACCAGCATAGACAACTAGCACTGAGGCCCTGTGGTTCATCCATGTGCTGTACCTGTGATTCCATTCATTTTGTTTTAGGCCCATTTTTGTGGTAGCCACCACACAACTGCCATGCAATTCTAGTGTACGCTATAGCTCCATACCACACATTGAGGGAGTCCCCAGTGTTTCAAGTTTGTGTTGTCTGTTATCCAATGAAATGTACTCCTTTATGTTAATTGCATTCGTTTCAGTGCCTACCAGTGACTGATGTGTCAGCTGGTCTCTTGACTCGATCCAGCTTCTACTGAAAATGTTCCCATTTTTTTTAATTTGAAAGACTTCTATGGGGATTGGATCAAGCTCTTTCTAACCAATCTGCCTAAAAGCTTCTCAGAGATCATGCTGCCTCTCGGCTCCCCCTGATATCTTAAGGAAGGATGGATTAAAGGAGATTATGGGGGATGTTAATTTGAGGCTGCTATTGCACATCTCCATTTTATGAACCTTTTTGGGGAGGAGATGGATGTATCTTTCTGGCCCATGATTTTATTCTATTAAAGGAAAAAATTGAATCTAGCCTTAAAGATCAGGTGTACAGCTAAGCACATGAAGGCACAACCCATAGGTGAGACCTGGGGAATAAGGTTCGTATTGGAGCAGTGATGGGCAAACTAGGCTGGTGAGTGGGCCATATGAATGGCCTCCTTATCTCAGTGGCCACAAGACTGTTATAACCAAGATGGTCTCCTGGGATAGGGTAGTTATGCTAACTACACTTGTGTACCTAGAATTTGCAGGGTGTGCCGCTTGAACCGTATCAGCGTATTTGTTGGATGCAGAAGGAGTACATGGCTCTCTCAGTCAATGTTGTGTGCAATCAGCATGCACCTCACTTAATGTGCCTTTGCTTTACATGCATGTCACTTTAGGAGAAAAACTACGGACACGGAAACCAGCGGAATCTAACAACCCTGCACATGGGCAATGGTAAACAAAATGTCCTCGGGCCACACACACAACCTGATGGGCTGCATATGGGCTGCAGATTGCCCATCACTGGCAGTGTTCCCTCTAAGCTGTGTGGCAGCACAGCTTCACAGTTGATTAATCAGGCCCATCCAGTCTGTCAGCATGGACCTCTGAGCTGCTGACTAGGCAGGCTTGATTAATCACCTGTGAAACTGTGCTGCCCCACAACTTAGAGGAAACACTAACTACTAGTATAGAGATTGATAGAGGTCACTACTGAGCTAATAAGAAAAGTATCTGGCTATTTGGAATTCACAGTCCTAATCTTTGAGCAAGATGGGGACTGACCACTACCCTTAACTAGCCAAGAGCTTTGAATTAGAAGCTTTAAGATGTCGAACTGTAGGCCTAGGAGTACCAGTCACCCTTGCTTTAAAGCACATTATATAGCTCTGGATATTTTTTTTTTATTGTGGAATAAGAGAGCAGCAAAGCAGTTTCATGTAAACAGAAAAATATTTCAGAACAGGGAAAGCATTTTGCATATGCCAAACTAACAATTATGTTTTAAATTATATTTAAAAGAACATGTGAATGTCTACAAAAGGTCATTTTACTGGGAATGTTTTGCCTTATTTTTCTGAACGTGATGCTGAATAATAGAAATAGCCAGGGGTTAGTTTCAAATGCATGTGTCAGTGGGATTTGGAAAATTAAAGTCTCTAATGGAACTGATCTATGAGAAATTATTCATGTTCAGACCATGTAAAGTACATTAATACAATTAATGGAAACATTAATATATTAATGCACACATGACGCATACACTCCATTACAGCATAACTTGAAATGGGTTTACTTATGCTAAATTATACTATTAAAACACCAGGTTTGATGGATTTGCCTTATATTTTATTTTTACATATAGTATGTAAAATAATACAGTTTTGTAAGATACATAAAGGGCTATATAAGCTAAAAGTGATTAATTATATATAGTATAGGACTGAGGGGTTATTATTTGTTTGTGTTCATGCTCTTTCTTCTACATAAGGGCTGTATCTAGACTGGCCAGTTTTTCTGGAAAATCAGCCGCTTTTCCTGAAAAACTTGCCAGCTGTCTACACTGGCCACTTGAATTTCTGCAAAAATAGTGACATCCTACTGTAAGAAATCAGTGCTTTTTGCAGAAATACTATGCTGCTCCTGTTCGGGCAAAAGTCCTTTTGCACACAACTTTTGTGCAAAAGGGCCAGTGTAGACAGCTGAGATTTGTTTTGCGCAAAAAAGCCCCGATCGCGAAAATGGCGATCAGGGCTTTTTTGCGCAAAAGCACGTCTAGATTGGTCATGGACGCTTTTCCGCAAAAAGTGCTTTTGCGGAAAAGCGTCCGTGCCAATCTAGACATGCTTTTCCGAATATGCTTTTAACAGAAAACTTTTCCGTTAAAAGCATTTCCGGAAAATCATGCCAGTCTAGACATAGCCAAGGAGTTGGTTTTGATGTAAACCCAGTCAGTGACAGAGCCAGAGAAAGGTTTGTTTATTGAATTATTTTCTCATATCTATAACTCTGCTCACTTTTTTTCTCCCAATAAAACGCAAACCCTCTACAATTAAGGAATTTATTTTGTTTTTATTTCTGAAGATGTTTATTATAACACCATTTCTACTTGATATTTTATTGTTGCTTCAACTTTTGGCTTGTTATTTTCATTAATATTTACTACTAATTATGATACTTTGATATATATATATATATATACCAGCACTAAATGATTAGGACCCAGTCCATAAACACTCTTTTACTTGCTAGTGGGCGTAATCTCATTGAAAACACTCTGTCCAATAGTAAGTTTTTTTTGTTTTTTTTTTTCAGGATCAGGTCCTATATTTGTATCGTTCTTTACTAACTTACGAACAAAAATCACTAGGGGAAGTACATGCAGTTTTCTAATAGTATCTAACTAGCCCATTGCATATCTACTGTATTGTTTAAGGACTGAAAATGGATACCTCTTTGGAAACTTAGTACAATAAATATTTTGTCTTGGAATCACTTGTTTTTAGCGTTTAATTATTTTATCATCAAACTTTTACTTGCATTGACTTCATGCACTTGATGTATTGCAACTGATGTCACTAAAAATGTAATCAGTGAAGATATCTGAGACTGCCATAATAGGGTCTATGGTATTTTACTAATTGTTGTCTAAGGATCAGGGTTTTCATTTATAAATTATTTTGCCAGCACAGTCTTGAATTGGGTCAATCCGCTAAAACAAGATATTCTCTGTGATACGAATGGCATTATCGTATTTAGTTCATATAATTACTGTGTCATCCACTAGAGGTTGCTGTGGCACAAAATTTTACATGATCTGTTGCAGATTCAAAAGTTTCAGAGGGGTAGTCATGTTAGTCTATAACCAAAAAAACTTAATGAATGGTCCTACAGCACCTTAGAGACTAACAAAAAATGTATATGATGGTATGAGCTTTTGTGGGCACAACCCACTTCTTCAGATTGTATGTTTTCTCTTTAATATTTCTTTTAAGCGCTTTGCTGCCTTGTGCAAATGAATTATTCTATATTACCGTGTTACTTGAGGCCTGGGAGATGCACAGTCACCACCATCTCATGCAGCATAAAATGGATGAATGTACTGGAGATGAAAAGAAAATAGCTGTTATAGTGGGATGTCAATTATTTTGACAAAGGCCCTTCCTGTAAACACTACTTGGCTGATGCCTTCTTACCATAAAGTGTTTGGACCAGGAAAGCAGTTGTACTTATGCTGCCATCCCGTGACCATCCTTTGCAGTATGGGGGAGAGAAGATCCTATTAGAATTTATGCTGATCCTGGCCACATTAACTGTGACACAGTTTATTGTGAACTTTCTCTCCCATTTGGAGATGGCTCACTTATAGGCAGGGAGATGGCATGGTTCCTAGTGAAATTGTCTTCACCTGTGTGATGAGAGGGGAGTAGGCACAGGGTCTTTCCTTTATCTCTAGACAGCTCTGTAATACAGGGTCCCATAGGCGTTGACAATCCCCTACTATTTGATGGGATAAGTCAGGAACTAAACCTTACAAACTCATGGAATTTCCTACTTAATGTTGCCCCTCCTGGGAGTTTTCTGGATCCAGCCTCAGAGTGACAGTTTACACTATGATGAATGGAAACACTGTGATTACCAGGAATGTAGATTTATTCCACAAACAGAATAATAGCTTAGCCTTGTAGCATCTTTCCTCCATAGATCTCAAAGCATTTTAACAAAGGAGGTGAGTATCATTATCTTCATTTTATAAATGCGGTAGAGGAGACTAAGGAAGAGAAGGAAAGGGACTTGCCCACTGTCACCCACAGGCCAGTGGTAGAGCTGAAAATATAATCTTGGTTTTCTGAGTCTTACTTCAGAGCTCTATCCACTGTGCCCCATTGCTATCAAACCACTGGCCATTTTCTGTCCAATTGTGCTGAGCTAGCACTGTCATCAAAGTTTCGGAATAATGTGATGGCTTTTTTGTTTTTTGAAAGGATGCCAAGACTAATTGCTTTTACCAAGTTCCATATACAGTATCCAGGAAATGTAATCCAAATACAATGGACATCCTAATTAAAGGGAGGCTAAGTACATAGGAAGGCAGAAACCACAGCAGAAAATTAGACTAATAAAATCTCTTTCTGATAAATGCTAAGTTCCATGGTTGGAGGCTACTGGGGTGTTTTGCTGCTTGTTTTATCAGCCCTTGGAAACTGGCTCAGGTACCTTTTTATTTGTCTCACTGTACATGATCCACGTGCTCACTCAAGGACATGTCATGCAAATTACAGATCTAAAATTCATGCAAATATACGTGACAAATAAAATAGCCTCAGTTTTCCTGTTCTGCTGCTTATTCATAGCATTCCCATCTTTGCATATGCCAGATAGGAATTATTTATCTATCTTGGATTTTATTTCTAGTTGGCAATCGTGAACCAAGTCCGTAGATATTGCAGCTTGTCTTTAATGGAAAAATAAAAAAATTCTCTACATCATATTATAGCATTTGTTTTCTGCTGTAAGAAATTGAAAAATTAACTTACTTGGCATGTCTTCTGACCATCTATTTAATTTCTCATACGGTTTGCCATTAGTTGAGGGAATATTCAAACTCTGAGAACAAAGATACATTATTCAAACTAGAAATGTATCGGATGAGCATCTGCCTTCAATTCTATATAAAGCAAATGAGAAGCTGTATAGTCTAGAAGTCAGATGACTCGACCCTAAATTATATTCCTGTTCACTTTTTCTCGCTGTCCAGACCCTGAACAAGTCATTAGGCTACGTTTAGACTGCAGCACTTTACCGGGATATCAAAGGTATCTCAGAAAAGCAATGCCACGCCCAAAGAACACGTCCACTTTTTCAGAAATTTCCGAAAAAGCGGACACGTTCTTTCGCCATCCCTGTAAACTTTATTTTATGAGGAAGAAGGGATGGTTCGAAAGAGCAGTTTTTTCCAAAATTTGGAGCTGTGTAGACACGTCAAATTTCGGAAAAGCCTCTTTTGAAAGAAAAGTCAGAAAAAGATACACAAATTGCAGATCGCATCTTTTTCCAACTTTTCTTTGTAGTCCGACTTAGCCTTTAACTCTCAATTTTGGTTGGCTTAAGTCTGCTCCTATTTAAGTCAATTCTAAAATTCCTGTTGATTTCAGTGGGAGCATAATTGATCCAATAGTGAGCATGTTTGAAATTCCTGCTTTAACATCTCTGTTCCCATTTCTAAAATTGGGAATAATACCTGCGTCAGAGGAATGTTGTGAAAATTAATTGTAAAAGCATTCTGAGCTGCATGAGTGTTGTTCAAATAAGATTTCATACTTCAAATGTTTTATATACACAAATGACTGGAAATAGAATAAATTGTTTTGTGTTGTGCATTCTTAATATAAACAGTTATTTCAATGTAGTAGTTTATTAAAACTTGTTCATAACTGCATAGTATAACTGCTATCCTGAATAAAATATGTCTTAAACTACCTCCTTGATGAGATCCACAACCAACAATAGTTATGGAAGGGAAAAATGCTTTGAGAGTGTTGATGTTGTAAATTCATTATTCAAACCAAGACACTGATTCCTTCTATTTTAGCTATTGCTGCACAGGAACAGCCTGGTTTTGGACATATAAGTTTCAAATTGCGCTAATCACCTGTTCGTTATAGGTCATATTAAATTCCTCAGTTTTAGCCATGCTGGTCTTTTTAGACTTTGGCATTTTCATCTCCTGTGATCACTACAGAATGATTTCAAATCCTCCACTGCACTTCAAAGTAACTCCAACCTGGCTCTATTTTTACACATCAGGTGCTTGTGTGTGCTATTTTTACACGGGTCGTTTTCCACACTATTACTTGTGAAAAAATGTCTTTACCTTAAGGTCCTTTTTCTGTGTACAGGTTTGTCAGTAAATCTAATAGTATACATGTGCAAATAATTTGCCTGAGAAATTCTATAGTTTGTGCTTGTGAGTGTGCACAGAGGCCAGCAGGAGGATCTCTGTCTTTTAACTACTAGCAATATTGTAAAGTTAATTTAAAGTTTTTCATATTTCTTCCAGGGCAAAGCTCGCATACATAACCCCCAGTAAAGCACCAATCTTCATTCTCTCCCAGTAATGCAAAGTTTTCCCATTGCCCTGTTTAGGGGTGTTGCTACTATTATAGATGAATCAGGTAACTGTTGTGCCAACTTCCTACCTTCAGCACACACACCCTACTACCACAACTCTGTAAAACCCCACATTCTCTTCTGGGAATAAAATATATCAAGTCCAAGTGAAGGTTCTTTTTTAAAGGGAGTCGTTCTTGGGCTTTCTTACCTTCTTTTGCCAAAACAAACCAGATCAACAGCTTAAAAAAATTGTCTGATCTCTTCCTTCTCCTTGTAGCATGATGCCCCTAAGGCAGGCATGTCCAAAGTCCGGCCCGCGGGCCAAATGCGGCCCGTGGTCGGATTTAATACGGCCCCCCGCTTCTCCTGGCTCCCCGGTGCTTTTTTTAACTGGCGCGCTCAGCACGCCGCTTCGGGCCGCCGCCGCCGCGGTCCCAAACCCTGCCCCTGCACTCAGCACTGGGGCTGAGAGGGCAGGGACAGCCCCCGCTTCCTCCCCCTCTCCTGGCTCCCCGGCGCTCCTCTGACTGCCGCCGCCGCGGTCCCAAACCCTGCCCCTGCACTCCGCTTTGGGGCTGAGAGTGCAGGGACAGCCCCCGCTTCCTCCCCCTCTCCTGGCTCCCCGGCGCTCCTCTGACTGGCGCCGCTTCCGGCCGTGCCGCCGCCGTCCATGGCGGCCGCTGCGGTCCTAAAGTCCACCATGTAGGGCACGTCCGCAGCCCCGCTCCCCCGCTTGGCTACGGGTTCGCCCTGCCCCCGGGCCGCCGTGAGGCCAGCATGCCCTGCGCTCTCCGCCCGCCTCTGACCCTGCAAGCCCTCTACCTTGGGGCTGAGAGTGCAGGGACGGACTCCGCAGCTGCTGAGATCAGGGACTGCCTTTGAACCAGACCTAGCCTATGTACTGCAGTCCAGATCTCAGTTTCACCCTTCACATTAGTGTAGGCAAGTTTTTTTTTCAATTGAGATGACTACATTGTAAAATCTCAGTTAATGTCAGTTGGTCTAACTCAGTTATAAATATATTTGGACACAACATGTATAGTTGGTGTTATGTCGTTTGCCGTTTGCAATAAACTTTGCATAAAATAGTTAATTTGCATTTAATTTTAATGGTTCAAAGAATGTCAGGCAAAATGGTCGGCCCTCACGCATGTTCACTTCATCAAATTTGGCCCTCTTTGAAAAAAGTTTGGACACCCCTGCCCTAAGGCTTTCTGGGTAATAGATGGCTTCTTGAAGATCACTTTGTATTCGGGTGGCTTTAACAATCTGACATCATACAGTGAAAAGCTGGCAGCATATCTCCTAAGAATAGGTGTTAAGTGACAATGTAACAGTTTACAAATGTCTGCAATGCCTGTTAAGCATAAACAATTCATAGGTTCAGCTGGAGAAGACCGACCGAGTTTTTTTTAAGCGTGGAAGGAACTAGAATGCAAGTCCGATCTAATTTGGACAAATAATTCTGCCACTGTCTGCTATGTAAGCTTTTACATGAAGATATTTATAAGGCAGGGGCAAACAAAGTACAGACACCAAATATGTAAGTCCTCAGATCATAGCTCAGTCCTTAACAGTCTATTTCCCAATGCCACATCTTAATTTCCTTATTGAGCAAATTATTTCTTAGTTGAAGCCCCATTCTTTTACAAAGAAAGATGAAGTAACATATACTACTATTACATTTGATTTTAAAAGCACTTAAGACAATTGGAAGTATTATAACGGACTATTCAGAGTAGGCTGCTATGTACTGTAGACATAAATGGAGCCATCTTTGAATTTGTCTTGTCTTTGAACACACTTAATTTTCATATAAGAGGTACTTCAGTATATTTGGATGTTCTTGTTGATACTTAGGTATATTTAATGTAGTTGCATTTGGATTTCCTGTCCAAAATAGGGATGTTAAATTGCGGGTAATTGACTAATAGAATAGTAGATGAATATCACCCTAATTGATAGGGCGCCTCTGCCTTTGACATGTAGAAACAGCCCTAGGGCTGTTGCTACACTTTAAAGTTGAAAGTGCCACGTGGAGCCTCAGGTCAGCTGGGGACTCCCTACTGATCCCAGGCTCCACACGGTGCTGCCACTTTGAAATACTGGGAGGAGCCTGATGCTGGGTTCCCCGTGGCCTTTCAAAGTGGGAGTGCCACACGGACCCCGGGGTCAGTGGGGGAATCCCTAGCTGACTCCAGGCTCCATGCAGCATTGCTGCTTTGAAATGCCAGAAGGAGCCTGATACTGGGCTCCCACAGCTGCGTTTCAAAGCGGCAGTGCTTCATGGAGCCTGGGGTCTGGCCCCAGGCTCCACATGGTGCTGCCACATTGAAGTACCTCCTCCTTCCTCCCCCCCTCCCGCCTTGGTGCCTCTTTCTGATAGAGGCAGCAAAGGGGGGGAAGCGACTAGTTGACAAGCTTGTCAACTATCCAATAAGCATTTGCTTATCAGATAGTCGACTAGTCCTTCACGTCCCTAGTCCAAAAGAGATAAAAGGATGCCCACATTTTAAAACTGGGCCTGCCATCTGTTTTGCAGCTTTGATAATGACTCTCATCTGCTTTGCACTGTTGTTTTTCTCAGCACCCTCAAACTTGGTGGTTGTAGCAATAAAACCAATCGTTACTTTTCTGTATTGAGTTGCTTCAGCCCGAACTTAGCCTAGGCTGTGTTCTTCTATAGAATAGCAGCTGGTTTACTACCAGTGTATAAATTTGTACAGCTGAAAAAAGGTTAACATCAATATTCGCATCTGGGTGATTATGTTGTCCCTGATTCACCTGGTAGGCATGGTAACCATGTAGAATCTAAGACTATCTGAAATTTGAATCTCCATGGTTGACTTGCATGTGTCTCCCATCTACATTGTCATTTTCTCTCCCAGTATCAGAGCCCCAGTATACTTGGCCCTGCACAAGCATATAATCAAAGATCCTGCTGTGATGCACTTCCTCATCTCTAGAGGCAATCTCTGCATGTCAGGTAAATCAGTGTGGAGAAGGTTGAACTGCTTTTGTATGTGCTGTAAGTAAATAGGACTTTAGCTTCTGACATTTTTCACATGCACTAAAATAACATATTTTATGCTGGGGAAAAATAATTCAATATATTGCTTTGACTGGCTAGTGGCAAGAGAGTCTGAGTGAGTAAAAAGAACACAGACTAAACTTGCATGTCCAAAAGTGGTAGAAGCTAGCCTCTTATGGTTTGTGACCTTATGTCATAGGCTACCTTGCAATAACAGCCTATCCTGGATATATACTCCAAAGCTATCCTTCAACAAAGATAAAGGTGCAAGTAGAGGAGATGGAGTTAATGTTCACAGATGAATGAGAATATTCATGAAAACTTTATAGACAAAAATGTAGTGAAAGAACTTTGGATTATTTTTTTTCTATCATATCCTAGTCCAAGTAACCAATGGAAAGTGATAAGATTAAGGAAATGAGCATGGGGGGCACTCCAGCAAGGTTATATATATAAAATATGCATTCCAGTCACTTTATAGAGCATGATCGTGGGATTACAGAAATACGCACTGGACATGCATACAAATCCAGATGGACTGATGATTATAGGCAATTGTAAACTCTCTGGGATGGAGGTGAAGTTTCAATCTCATGGATGAAACATGTTTGTTAGATGTCTGGCTATAGCCATACTTGGATTTGACAAAAATTACAGTCTAAGATAACTAATAGTGGATCATCTGGTCAGTTACTGGTGGGACCTCAGGCGGAAGCTAGGAAGCAGGTTTTGTGATTTAGGGGACGATACTCATCCCTAACACCATCTAGCCCTTTTCCATTGTGGCTATTCTGCCAATGAGAGCCTTATCGTCAATAAACCACTAGTAATCATAGCAATTTAAACCCTGATCGAGGAATAAGGCACTAGTGGCCACTAGTATTCTAATCTACACTAATGCTCCTATGGTTGCTGCCTCTGGTCAAGATTAGATGGTAAGAATGTTTAGTCAAGCAACAGAGTACTTGATGTGCATTTGGCTCCTTTGGGCTTTTCTTCACTGTGGACTAAATTGGCGTTGCTGCAATCAAAGCAGGCATGGATTTAGCAAGACATAAATTGATGGGAGAAGGTTTTCTCCCGTTGACTTCAGTACTCCACTACCTGAGAAGTGGAAGCTATGTTGATAGGAGAGCATCTCCCATTGACATGGCATGGTGTAGACACCACTATAAGTCAATATAATATGTTAACTTAAATAACTTAAGTTATATAAATTATATAACATAACTTAGCTTGACTTACCTCATTAGTGTAGACCAAGCTTTTGGAGCTGCTCTGGTCATAGTTGTTGACTTCATGGGGGCTCTAGTGCTGAAGTGCCCATGGAGAAAAATTAGCAGGTGCTCAGCAGCCAAGTTCCTCCCTCTCCCACCATCACCTCTCACCCCCCAGCAGCCCTGTTCATCAACTCCTTCACTTCCCTCCCAGCCCTTACCACCAGCTACAAACAGCTGTCTCAGGATATTTTGGAGGCTCCGGAAGGGAGGAGGAGGAGGAAGAAGTGAGGCGGGATAAGGATTGTAGTTTGGGGAAGAGGTGGAGTGGGGGCAGGGCCTGGAGTGGAGCAAGAACAGGAAAAGGCAGGGCAGGAGCTTGGGAATGGGTGGGTGGAGAAGGGGGGGGCAGGAAGAGGTGGTACTAGCTTGGGAGAAGAGGGAGTGGCGTTGGGTGCTTGGGCAGGTAGGATGTCAAGCACTTGCTGGCTAGGGGGGAAGCTGGTGTTTATAGCTCTGGCGCCACAAATGAGCTGGGAAGCAACTGGTTCTTAGGAGCTGAGAATTCTCCTACGGTGAGGGAAGCTCTTGACTAGTGCCAAGCCAGTATTTGTGACCTTTTCACCCCCACTGCACCCAGCTGTAGTAAAAGGACTGTATTGATGATAGGGAGTAAAAAACAAGCCCCCATTCAGTCATATGTAATGTGAATTCTACATTGTTGCATACCATGAAAAGGCGAGTATGAGAAAGACCTTCAGTTGGACTAATCATCAGAGTAGATAGGACTGAGCATTTCACATCTAGGTCATGGGTTCTCAATATGAGGCAGATTCATGAATAGATGCCAGGGGGTTGCAACCAACCAGACTGCTTTTCCCATACTGGTATTTGGGAGGACGGTCCCAACTAAATCCTGGTTTGATGGGATGAGGAGAGTCCTGATACAGAGAAGCTTGAGAATCACTGCCTAGATAACTGGCATAAATCTGGCTAAGACTGGTAATAGCTTGTCTGGTATTCACCCGAACAGTCCAATATTTTCACCTCCTGGCCGGTAAAAAAATTCAGAGAATACCAGACACCTCCCCCCCGCCCAGGAGGCGAAAATGCCGGGCACCTGGCAACCCTACAAACACTCAGCACCCGGCATCCCCCTGGTTCCCCAAACCCTAAGCCCCCCACCCCAGCCCCCATGCTTACCTGGTTCCACAAGGCTGCTGGCACAAAATGGCTGCTGATCAAGGGGAAGCATTCCCCTGTTCCTAGCGCTTAAAGGGGACACGCTGTTTTATTTTTATTTTTTCTTAATAAGTCTTGGAGTCCTTTTTTTTCTCCTTCAACAGAATTTTTTCCCAGTGTTGGGTTTGTTTTTGGTTTTTTTGGGGGGGTGGGGATGGGGTTGGTATTTTTGTTTCAACCATCTGGTAACCCTGTTAAAAATCAGAACCATCTGATTGGTAGTACATTGGTAGTACATTACCTGCGAATGGCTACTGGAGGTGCTATGAGAAACAGGCTGATCTCAGACCAGTTCTTCCTGGATAGATGTCCATATCACAAAACCAATTCAGAGAGGTCATGAGTTGAAGAAGCACGGATTCCAAACTATCCTCGCTACACTCCCTGCGTGTCAGGAGCAAAAGCGTGTTAGTCAGGCTACATAAGGAAGTCTGCAGGGCTGTTGACTGTGCCAAACCTATTCTATGGAAAACAGTGACTTCATTCTCCTGGGCTGTACTTTCCTACAAACTAAATCTTACTTGGTTTTTGAAATGTGTGTACACACATACTTCACTTTAACAGCAAAAATACTTAATTTTCAAGTTGAACACTTGAGGCTTGTCAGAGTCTGATTTATCTCTCTCAAGTACAGGATTCCTGCTTTCACTAACCAGCCACAGTTCTTGAATCTAAAAGAGGGACTTTTTGAAAGATTAGTTTTAAATGGAAAAAAGCATGGTAGTCTTTGTTGTGGTGTTTGTGGTGATTCATAAATATGTATTGAAATACTACAGGCAGATGCCATGAAATAGCTGAGCTTCAAGTATTTCATTAAAATTTCTGTTTTGTTTTGCTCTTTATGAATTAACACAGAGGGGTTTATTGTGTTTGCTTTGATTCAGAATTATTAGTTCATGATAATGAATTCCAGGCTTTTTCTGGCATAGTTTGTGTTTCAGTGTCACTCTCATCCAGTTGAAGCTTACTGCTGAGGTAGCGAGAAATCCTAATCTCCCTGTGCTGGCCAAGCATACCCAAGAAATACCTCAGTGTGAGGGTTTGGAGGACAGAATCCTCCACTCTCCTCCCACCCCAAAACTCGGAGGCAGGTGGTGAAGATCCTAAGCAGCTGGACTAGTGTTGCTATAGCCCGTTGTCCTGTCGTTCTCTGCCTATACCTGCTGGAGCTTTTCTTTCTGCAAAACTGATTTACTTCCTGATTTATATCCATCCAGCACACCCACAGCCTCCCGTTCTGTGATTGTGTGAGGAGAAAAGCTAAAAAATATAACTCCATGGCAAAAGGCCTGCACAGGCTCTCTGCATACCCCTTCCTCTTCCTGGCTCACTCATGTCTGGTTCTGTCTCTTTAAATGTATTTAGCACATTCTTCTTCCTGGAGGATTTGACCTATAGATAATTTCTTTAACTATATTTCACCTTCTGATAAGACATTCAAACAACATTAGCTCCAAACATCCTGATTCTTTCTGTTGTTATACATGAGGATCACTTATTAAAGCTTGTGGTTTTTTTCTTGTAAACATTAGCAATGGTTATACTTTTTTTTTTTAATGCTTCACCTTCCCTATTTGCAAATTGCTCCATCATCCTCTCAATATATTCCTGAGTTCGCAGGCAGAAACTGCCAAAACAGGCTTCTGGGTTGGGAGGTTAGTTGACTACCAGACCTAATTTAAGGCCTAATTAAAGAAGCATTTGTTTACTGTTAAATTAGCCTTGCTAATGTTGATTTTCCTCTTATTATTTGATGCTCTGTGACTAATAATCTGAGAAATAGAATCTTTCTGATTACCACTTTACCAAAATAAGAATAGTATAAAATAATTATAAAAAAGAACAGCAGTTTGGTGGATGACCTGCATCTAACCACAAACTAATAGTTCAGACTGAATTGGGTAAACAACAAAACATTATTTATCTAGTCTTGTACTCAGAGAAGTACAACAAAATTCACCACATACATCATTATTCACTGACGGTGTATGTAAATTGTTCACCCAGCTTCAATAGATAACTTTAAAAAAATATTTTTCATTTTTTTTTAAATCACATCTCAAAAGTTGGTAAACTGGGTGCAAGCAAACAATATAGCTGTGTCTACATTGGTGCGATCTTGCGCAAAAGCGGCCACTTTTGCGCCAAAACTTGCTGCCTGTTTACACTGGCTGCGAGTTCTTCTGCAAGTACACTGATGTACGAAATCAGTGTTTCTTGCACAAGAACTCTGACGCTCTCGCTCAGGAATAAGCCCTCTTGCGCAACTGTTCTTGCGCAAGAGGCCAGTGTAGACAGGCAACATGAATTTCTTGCTCAAGAAATCCCTATAGTGAAAATGGCCATCGGAGCTTTCTTGTGCAAGAGAGCATCTACACTGGCATGGATGCTCTTGCGCAAAAACACATGCCAGTGTAGACACTCTCTTCTGGAAGAGTTTTTGCACTAGAATTCTTCCGCAAAAGAGTTCTGGTGCAAGATCATGCCAGTGTAGATGTAGCCTATGTGTTTTAATACAACTAAATGTATATGCAAGCCCACAGATGGAGAGGTGAAAGGGGCTCTTGCCTCAGGGTCTGGCAATTCAAATGATCCTGGGGTTCCCAGCTGCCCCTACTTCTGGTACACCCCTTTGAATTGCTGCTGGAGCAGCTCTGAGGGCTAGTGGAGTATGTGTGTGCACCGAGGTTCAGAAGGCACTGAGAACTTGCTGACCTTAGCCCCTGCCTGAGGCCCTGCCCCTTCCAGAACTGCAAAGCTAAGCCCCCCACACCTTGTCCCAAGGTCCACGTTGGCTGTTGGCCCAGCTTTGCTTACATCTAGGAACAAAGAATGTAAGCAATTGTTGCAGGATGGAGGATTCTATCCTGGGAAGTGTCCGAGACAGAACATCAGAAATGGCTGCCCGTCGCCGGGAGCCATAGCCTGTAATACCTCTAAGGCTGGTATAGGGGGCTCTGTCTGTGAGGTGGAGTGTTTTCCATATAAGGGCATGTAAATTAATAATCTTCCCCTGCTCGCTCCACCCATTGCAGTGAAAGATCAGCCAATGGGCTCACTTGTGCTCAGGCCTGCTACTCCACCCACTGCAGCAAAAACCAACCTATGGGGTGATAAGTTCACAGGCAATAAAACAGGCAGGCAGCCCCTCTCTCACTGGGGATTCGCATCGAGTGAATGCCTGGCCTGATCACCCAGATGCCTTGCACCCCCCGCTCTCGAGTCTTACTGAGCGTACTCCGAGTTGGTCGACCCGAGTGGAGACAGTTTATGAGCATGCGACCGGTACTTGTGTTCCTGCTGTCTCCAGAACTGGTATAACACCCCTTCCCCCCCACCATCATCCCTATCCTAATTGATTTTTTAGTTGTCCTTATTGCTTGTCAAGTGACATGGCTAAAAAGTTACTAAGTTAGTTTTTAAATAGTTGTGGTTTAGGTTTTTTACTGTTCCTTGTATAAAGTTGTGTAAATACTCAGCCCTATGGACAATACCAGTGTTAATTCAACTGTTCCTAACCCCTGGGCAGTTATTGGGAATTATTGTGATTTAGAAAAGCCTCAGGGAATTGTTTTGTGTTGTCTGGCAATCTGTTTAATTTTTGTTCTGATGATTGTCTGGCGTCATCAAAATAAAATCAGTTTGTGCTTTTTAAAACCCCCCAGTTGTGGTCTCATCCTTTCCGGCATCCCTTCGAACCTCGTGTATTACGGAGACTGACAGGAAGCATTGACTCTGAAAAAGATTTGGGGTTGATGATGGATAATAAGCTGAATATGAGCTCCCACTGTAACTTGGTGGCCAAAAGAGCAGATGTGATCATCTAGGAATGCATAAACAGGGGAATCTGAAGTAGGACTAGAGAGCTTATTTTACCTCTGTATTTGGCACTGGTGCAACCACTGCTGGAAAGTGATCCTGTCTGGCCCAAGAATTAATGCACGTATCCAAGTCAGACATTACATAAATTACTATGGACTAAATTTGCCCCATATATAAAAAATTAGAGTGATAGGGTGGAATTTTCCTCTTTATTCTTAGAATCTGATCCTCAGCTGGTGCAAATCTACATTGCTCCAGTGAAGTCCTGGATAATCCTGTCAATAGCCGTCACTTCTCTTGAGATATACATGCCCCTTATCTGTTTTCCCACTCCCATTAAAGTAGCATAGAAAACTTTTTACTATGTAGTTCAATAAACTGTCAGCTGGGTTAACAGATGAGGTGACTATGATAAATTCCTTTGGTATCTGTCCAATGTCAGACAAGTTATTATGGGATAGTCTTTCACTGAGTAAACTCCTATTCCCAACAAACCCAACCCACAAGTGCGTAAGTTGATGCCAGAAACTGTATTTCTCAACTGTTGTCAGACATGATTTGCATTCAGGACTCCATTTCTGTTTTACATTTTAAGGGCTTAAAACATCCAAACAATACAGTGAAACTCTGGGATTTTCAAAGCAGTCTAATGGAGCTAAGAGACTGAATCACAGAATATCTAGGTACACCTACAAATACATAATTTACAGCTGTAAATTTAAATATTTTTAAATAATTTCCTTCTGTATTTGTCCTTAAGACTCCAATTCAGGTTTTCGTGTGCTCCCTGCATGTGTTACAAATTTGTTCCTCTGGGTGTGGGTGATCAGACCACTCCTGGGAACTTATAGAGGAGAGTTGAAGGATTGAGGGCACAATGAAAGTAGTATCCAGAGGCGGACTGGCAACCAAAATAGGCCCAGGAAATGGGTTGAGAACGGCCCACTTTTTCACAAAGAATTTTTTTAAAGTTTTCTCTTTGACCCCCATTAGCCACACCCCTGACCCATTAACCATGCCCCTGACCCCCATTAGTCACACCCTGTGACTCCCATTAGCCAGGCCTCTGGAGGTAACACTCTTGGGGCAAGATGGACACATGACCAGAAGTGAAAAGTGTCATGTGATCCCTCTCTAAGGACTTTTCCCAACATCCTCCTACCAATAGGGATTAGTTTGGCTCCCACTAAACCCCCCTCGTGCAACCTTCAATTGCATTAACCCAATGGGTGTGACATTAACTCGGGGGCGGAGAGGCTGAGGGAAGTGTTCCCTCTAAGAGTTTCCTCCCATGAGCAGAATGAATTTTGTGTTGTGCACCAGTACTGAGTTCATGTGGCTTTTTTGGATGTGCCACTGTGGCAAAATATCTCATAAACATCTACCTTTTCCCTCTGCTACCATGTCTTCTCCCCTTACTCCATCAACTCCCCTGGAACCTGCTGCCCCCCAACACAACCGCATCTGCTCTAACCCCACTGACAGAGACCAGAAGCTTCAGGATCTCTACCAAGCATTTATAAACCTCAACTACCCACCCGGAGA